AGACAACCCCGTAACAATATGCGTTTTGTACTGCTGTTACACAGCACAAAACGCATAAAAATGACAGCGCATGACGAGTCAGATGAAATTCGAAGTATATTCGTTTTCAGTTTATGGAGGATGCAAATGCTGCAGAGGAGTGGATGACAAAGCAAACCGATATGCTGGAGCGGAAATACAATCGCAATGATTTCTCACTGGAAGAGGGCGAGCTAATGCTCCGTGAATTGGATGAAATTAGCGAATTGATCAAGAAATATCACAGCATCTTAATGACGCTCACCGAACGCAGCTCACAAATATCACCGTTGTGGCAACGTGGTGAACGCATTCAGCGTTCGATGCCAGTCACTGCTTTGGCCGATTATACCGATAGAAATATAACCATCCGAGAAGGTAATAATTCATACATCGTGTTGAGTACTGAGCATAATGAAGTTTTAAGTAATGCTGTACAGTTAGTTACATGAATTGTGGTACCTGGCGCCTGAAAAACGCATACTTGCAACAAATTTTGAAGTTTAACTGTTTAGTTGAGAAAAAATCTGTGTATTTTATGCAGTGGTAAGAGGAAAAAAAATGAAAACCTCTTTCGTAAGCAAAAATTTTTTTTTTTTGAGACGACGAGGCACTCGGCAGCAGTTCAAATGGTAGAAAATGTGAAGAGAAAAACTACTTTTGAGCAAGTTTGAAGAAAAACCACTCTGTGGTAGGATTAACAGTACCCCCCTCCCCTCGCGCTGCCCCACCCCTTCCCTTTCCATGATTACTTAGAAGCAAACTGATGCCCATTCATTCGTTACATGCGTTTTTTCATCGAGTCGTAGAGGAATTAATTGTAATGGTAGATTCTGACACTTAAAACATCAAGTTACGCAACTTGCCAATGTGCCGTGTGTCTGTCAAAATGCAGTGTTAAAGCCCAGTGAAAATTACCAACTTGTTCAGGCGATGAATGCATTTTGGTTGATAATTCGGATCTGATTCACTGGATTGTTCGAGCACCAGATGGATTGGAAGCTTCTGTGCCATCAGTTGTTTTTCGCATTCCACCCCCGGATACACACCTCAGCTCATATCTGAATCGTTTGCATGCCAGTTTCGAAAGACTGCGTCGTCTTTGGGAACGAAAACATCGAATGGTGCGGTACAATATGGTGCTAAATACGATGGCCCAGATACGGTATTGGCCTTTTTTTTAACGTTTAAATTCATAAATAGATAAATTTCCGGGTTTTTTTTTTATATGACCGGGATATTGCTTGTAGTAGTTGGGATTTGAATACATTCTCGGCGATCAGTCCAGAAGAACGAGATGCGATCATTAAAGCGCTGAACGATGATGCGCATAAATTGCTATCGGAACTCGATCCGAACGACCCACTGGCGATGCGCCTGAAAGAGGAGCTCATGCTTACCAACGAGCATTTCTACGAGCTGTTGAATCAGCTGAATCGTCCTAAAGGTAACTGAACCGGTTTTAAATGGGAAGATGATGAAGTCATATATTTTCAGTTTTGCCAGCTGAATGTTAAAAATTTTTGTAGAACCAGAAGTTGGAACACAGTTTGACGAAAAAAGTGCAGAGCTGCTCAGAAAGCTGGATGAAGCATACCGAAAATTGAACGATCGAGTTGTGCAGGTAGATTTTGTCAACAGAAAAAGTCCCAGATTGCTAATTTATTCAAAATAACCTATCTTGCGGTGCAGTGACTCATTATTCATGGGACAAGGGATGTGATGGGTGTAAAGCATTAGTCCTTGTATGGGTGAGACTCCGCGGTTTATCCGGAGTCTCATCCATGATGAGGAGTAGTGCTTTGTGCGGTAAGAAGCGATGATGTTGGGCAGAAGTGATAACATTTCATCCGTGCATCTCTCCATCCCCCCTCCCATATATGATAACTCATTGCGTCAAAATTTGCATTTATTAGCTAATAGAATTTTATTCACGCTACCTGGCATGGTAAAGTGATAAATGGAGTTGCTTTCATGCCGAAAGCGTGGGGGAGGGGGGGGGGGGGGGGGGGCAAATTCATCAGAAGGAAAGGGG